CTGAAGGACAGACAACCTCCTTCACAGCTACACGGCGGCTTTGTCCTCCCCTTAGCCAGAAACCGCGTCCGGGGAAAGACAACCGGCAGGCGATTTGGAACAGCGAATTCACACAGACTGCCTCCAACAGCGGCAGGGAGCTGCTGTGCACGCCCAGCCCCACGCCGCACTCGGGGTATCGATAACGTGTTAATCGCCCCAGTGCAAGCGGCCAGCTACCAGGTCTGTACCTGGGGGATCACGCCTGATGGTGAAAGCCATCCCTCAGCAGGCACTGGAGGTTAGCAAGGATTGAGAAACCCCGCGAAGCAAAACCTCTTCCTGGGCTGAGAAGCAAGAAGGACATCGTTGAACCTTGCTAACCTCCAACCCCACTACTCCCCCACCAGAGATCCCGATGCTTTGTTCTTCACCTGTCACCTACCTCAGCAGCACCGAGTTGTACTCCAGAGCATCTACAGGTTGTGTGTATGTTCTGCAATGAACCCGCGGGATTGGTTTTAATCCTCGTGATCTGGAGGACTGATACCTTGAACCCCGATCAGCTGCGTGTGCACACGTACACATCTACAGACCACCACGGCAGTACTTTAACTCCCTTCGCTCTGTGCTGACCTAGCATAGTCCGTGCCCTCGCTTCTTTTCCACGCAGAAATGCACGTGCATACATCCTACTGCGAGGACAGGCTTTCCCAGTTGCAAGGTGCTCCAATACCAGGGTAAGGACAAACTGCTCCTGGGACACCAATTCACATCATTGCACTGCTTGGCTTGAGCAAGAAACCTGTCAACATTTTAAAGAGGGAATTTTATAGCCTGCACAACAGAAACAGACTCCCAAGTTTCACTTTTCAACACACAAGCGTGACAAAAGGGATGTCCTGAGTCCAGAGTAAATTAATTCCACAAATATACAACAGTTTCAACAGCCTTTAGCACCAGTACTCAGACCACGGCTTTCTAATAAGTAATTCATCATAAAAATAAACCCAGTTTTCAGCTGGAAGTAAAAGGAACCCCAGGAGATTTGAAGCTCAACCTTTCTGCATCTGGTGAAAAGCCATCAGGATCTTTCCTCACCTGCCGATCCCACTGAGCTCCCTTCCTAACCCTACATTGCAAAAGGTCAGGAAATGAAGGCTCTTAGTCATCACAGTTTGATTAAGACAGCTTAAAATTTGAGCTTTAATTGAAATGGAAAGAAACATTCCAAGAGGATATATGTTTTATAGATTTAACTGAGTTACCAAATTTAGTTTTCATTGGATGTTACTGCAAACATGAACATTAAATCATAAGTGCCGAATAGGAGAGAACTCAAAAAAAAAACAAACCACCATACCATATCAGAAGGGATTGGACCAAATGCTTTTGTAGGCAACTATCCAAATGTGTGATGCACTGACATGTTAGCTCATATGATGTAAGGACATCCTTGAATCCACCTGAAAAAACTTCTGAGGACTGACTACATCAACATTTCCCTGGCAAGTATCTTCTCTGCCAGCAATAAATCCCAGCGCAATACATATCTAAAATGATATACATTAGAGGGCATGTGTTTAAGAGTATTAAGTCAGCTTAAATTACTTGAGCAAAATTTTAAATATGATAGAAATCTAAAAAGGAGCAAAAAAAAAAAATTGAGAACACCACTGCAATATTAATGCCAAGTTGTTACTTTTTTTTTTTTTAAACAGATCTGTACAGCAACATAGCAAAGAATGCAGTGATCACAATTCAAACCAGACAGCAATCTACGGGAATGCTAATCCTGTATACAGCAGAGCTGAAACATTCCCAGCATTCAGATGCTCCAAATATGTCGGCTACCCTAATGCACTCCAAACCAGTTCTACCTACATAGGACATTTTGGTGTGAAAAAGTTTCTGTAAAGTTCCCTTTGTTTCCAGTGTTTTTCTTGTACAAAATATTACATATTACAATGTTTTTTTATATATATTTACAGACTTGCACAGCTAGAAAAATATAAACTACAATTGGGCTTGGCAATCAGTTCTTTTCTTTAAATACATGACATTTCAGAGCAAAAATTGTAGTGGTAACATCCTGTACTTCAAGCATCTGCACAGAGAAGCTTTCTTCCTTAAGCATATCAAGCCTAAAAACCATGACTGCAGGGAGACATGTGCCACAGTAAGTGCAACAAATGCAATTCATCTACCTCCTGGCATAAGGAAGCCACAAGATGAATGTTGTTTGTGCAGGTTAGTGGCACAATATAGAAAAATCCATAACTGAACATTAAATTCCTTAATAACATTCATTAATTTCATAGGCAGAGCCTGTTAAAAAAGGACAACCAAAGTAACTTTTAGGAAAAGCAGACACTAAGTTCATGGGGCGTTATACACGTTGAACAGAAATGCAACCACAGTTAACATTTCAGGGGCATTTGCTAGCTTCAAGCAAGCACCAAGGTTTTAAGGTTTTTTGCATTCAACTTTTGAGTAGAGGCCAGGGAGGACTTTTTTTTTTTGCTTTAAAGCTACAGTATCTGTCATTATGGCTTTTAACACCCCGCCTTTCACTGAGATGAGGTATGTGTTTCAGGTGAAATGGTAACAGTTGAGGAAAATGCGTTTGAATGGACCAGCAAAACTCCGCACGCAGGTGAAAGTAGGTTTTCTTATGAGAAGTTGCCAAACCAAATTGTATCAGTGCAAAACAAGATTTCTTCGCAGAAATAGTTGTCAAGGCATCTAGGACATCGCTAGTAGTCAAGCCACCGAGCAAATCCTCTTTCCACCAGAGTTCTGTTCACTGACACCACCTAAAGGGAGGCAAAAAAAAAAGTAGAAGGGTGAACAAGCCACTAGAAAAACATCAGCAAGTTCCTAATCAACAATCAAAAAGCACACATAATCATAAACTCTAACAGTGTTGAAAAAATACACGTCAACATACACACCTCGTCTCCCATCAAGTTCCACAGCTGTATCAGTGGCAGACCTGTTGCATTGTCATAATTTGTGACCTGGAAACATAGAAAAACATTAGTTTGCAGACATCAGCAATTCATTCAGGTCATGAGCGTGAGCAATTCTCAGCAAGCGTCTGGTCTGAGCCATGGAGGATGCAAGGCTAGTGTCAGTCACTGCACAGCAGGTACTCAATACTCAAACTTCTGTGTAGGCTGGAGGAAAGGTAGCTACTGCTACCAGGCAGCTGGGACACCCTGCTGCAAGTTTGCTCTAGTCACTCAAATCCGTGCCCTTGCTGGAATCAGCGATGCCTTTGAGCACTGCCTTAAAGCAAAGGAAGCTAAGAGGCTGAGCATCACAAATGCCATCAGCTTCCCACTCGTCCCAATTCCACTGACGGGGATGGCTACAGCCACGAGTAGAAGCACTTCAAAAGAGGGAAGCGCCTCTCCCTTGAGATCAGGCACGACATGCAGAAGCCTTGGGGACACTGCCAGAAGCCTTACTTCTCCCTCTGGCCAGCCAGAGGCTAGGGCCCCACTGTCGGTGTTGCAAAGACAGCTGAGACTGGCAAAGCAGTGCAGACCCAGGCGAATACTTCTCCGCTGGACAACAGGCCACTTTGTGCTCTGTAAAGCCATTCAGGAGCCCTGCCTCCCGGCCCGCATCAGCAACAAGAGGGAATACTCAACCCTTCCCAGCCACAGCGTCCGGAGCGGTGCCGATGCTACACAAGGAAGTTCTCAGCACCCAGATTTCTCCACAAGAACCCTGCCCAGCAGCCGGCCTGACAAGCTCGGCCCTTGTTTTGGATTTGAACACACACAGAGTATGCTGGGGGCACAGAGGATAACAGCAGCAGTCAAATCAGCAACAAGGCTTTTGCAGACAGCTCTCAGGTACCTGCGCCACTAGGACTGCGCCTTTGGTCATCTCAACAACAGCGGCGTCAGCTTCGGATGAAAAGTGATCCTCGTCTTTGGAAAGAAGAGAGCAGGAGAAAACAAATGAGATACTCACAGGTTTTAAAGGCCAGAAGGGACTACTAAGCTCATCATGTCTGACCTCCTACATGAGTTAGGCCAGAGCATCCTCGCCTACCCTTGCTGTAGGCATTTGCTGAACCCAGTCTATTAAGCTGGCGATCACACAAGCAGTATGCCTGCTGTGCTGCTGAAGGGAAAGGATGAAGCACTTTCTAAAGCCACTAGCTAAGTTAATGTGAACATCAGTGGCTGATGAATTAGGAGGCTTTAAAGACAGAAAAGTAGACTTCTGCGGTACCTTTGAGCTGCCATTAGTATTTTGACCCTTAATAAACTAAGCTCAGGGGCTTCAGGACTTTACTGACCCTGCACAGAGCGCAGGACTCTCAATGGGAGCTCTCCAAAACATTTGTACCGCAGGCTGGCTGGCACCCGAACAGTGCAAATGCCCTCTGTGCAAGCACCGGCAGCTCCCATCTCTCAGCCTGCACAGCTCAGGTGCATACTGTTGCTAACTCCACGGCGGTAATGCGGCGGGAAACCCTGCTGTCCCAGGCAATACAGTTACAATCGACACTGCAGGCTGGACAGAAGTGGTTTAATTTTGGAGGAAAGTTGCTGCAAAATGAAGTTTCTCCTTTGGTGTCCCCACCCCAAGATCATCTCCAGCAGCAAGGGAACAACTCCTGACAAGCCCACAAATCCTGAAGGAGGTCAATCTCCTCAGGGAACATGCAAAACACTGACTTCTGCTAGAAGCAGCTTAAACCCTGCCACCCCTCTAGTCTTGGCAGGGCCTGTACCTCCTGCAGTGCTGCAGCCACAAACCCAGGGCTGAAACCTGGCCTGACCCTGAGCTCCTACAGCCACCCCTCCCACACCCAGAAGGGCAGCTTTTAGACACCAGCACAGCCTGCATCTCTAACAGCACCAGAAAAGCAGGGGGCGGGGAGCAAACCAAAAAACATTTCTAGGCAGTGACTGACATTCTTCCAGTGCTTGGAGGGTAGTCTTTTGAACACAAAACTAGACCCACCCGTCATTTTCGTAGGGAAATGTCACATATTTGTCTAGCAGATTAAAAACTAAGTTTGCATGTACAGCTACTCTGTGACAGAAGGCAGCATAATTACAGCTACTTCACCTCTACCCTGCCAGTCCTGCCAACTTGCTGTTTAGTAGAGTCACTCCTTCTCCCCTCCATGCAGGAAAAAGCCTGGCCTTTTATCAACTTTCCCCTGGAGTCTGACAGGTTATGCTATGCTAGCACGTTTAGAAGAATAAAATACAATTTTTCCAATCCTTGCTCTAGTCACATCAGAGGCTGCGCTTGCAAGAGGAGGTAGAAGGTTTAGACAGTCATTGCTTGTGCACAGTTGGCATCCATTTAAACCCACAGGAGCACCACCGACGGTACGTCTCGAGAATCCCGTTACCTGGAAGTGGTACCACGTTGTCTAGTAGAACTTCTGCTCCTTGGAAAGGTAGTGATAAGAAATCAGACCTTAAAGAAAAGAGAATCAATCAGAATAAGAGCATGGCTTTAAGTTACTCCTGTATTCTTTAGAGCAATTGATTAATCAATGTCACCTTAACAGGAATTCAGTTTAAAATTAATGACACAAAAACCCCCAGACTATTCTCCCAGCAATCTAAGCGGCAGCAGCAATAAACTGTCTGATTAGCATGCCAAGTTGGATCGGGCTCCAGGCAAAACCCACCTCCCGAATGGAGGCTGTACTGCTTTTCTCCCACCTCTGGGGCTCAATCAAGTATTTCACGGGCTTGCATAAGAAAATCCTCATCCAGCACGGCTCTCCCAGCCAATGGGGCTGGGGCACAGAGAACCTGCATCTTATTCCTGACTCATCAATTAACTACACTTTGGGGCCTGCTGAAGGTATCCTTTTGCTCAGCTTCCACGCTGAAGTGGCAGAATTTGCCATTTCCTCTCCCCTCCCCTTCAAAAAAGCCTTGCAAGAGCTTGCTGTGCTCCCAAGGACTCCACATCCGCTGCTGAGACAAACCTTTCTACCATTTCCCGCTTCAGGTCTGGAAAAACCTATCAGCAATTCAAACTACATGGATGCCTCTGATGAAGATTCAAGCCAGATATGGCCTCAGGCCATGGAAGAGCAGTTAGAGACCTGATTTGCCTGAGTTTGTCTATCTTCACTTTGTCGTATCCTCCATAGTCCACGTATCTGAGCTCCACTTCACCAGTCTCTTCGAAGTAGCTGATAACTTGAGCCCGTAACCATGACCCATCCAGGCCTGGAGCCGCGCAGATGATACCAACTGCAAAACAGAAGAGCTCAGTAGAAGTGGATTTCCAGAAGACAGCACTTTTGGCATTAGTAGTGCTGCACAGTTCTCTACTGAGAATCAACAGCATTTCTTCTCATGCTGCTTCCATCTTCTTTCCACACCCCCAGCCCTCCATCAGACAAGCCTGCAGCTGGGACACAGCAGAGCTGGCTTGTACTCTCAAGTCTCTGTCCGCCACTACCATGGTCTTCTAGCCAGGTATCCAGTTCGCTTCCAGCCTTTGGTCACTAACAGTGAGCTCTGTCTCCAAAAAGGAAAGGAAGCACTAACCACCCCTCCCTTCCTTGTGATCCACTCTACACCATGTGCAGACAGTGACACGATGGAGACTTGGGAGGAGTTCTACACTTTGTCAGCAAAAACAGAACAGAGGCCAAGTTGATTAGAAATAACCTGAGACAGACTTTGTCTCATTCTGAAGTTCAACACACAGCTAAGTGGCTGGGGAGGGAGGTACTCCAGGAATAACTGGGATAAGGAAGAAGAGAGCAACAGCTGTACTCTGGCAGCAGCTAAGCAAGTGAACTCACATTCTCATCCACTGGGAAACTTCCCAAGCCAAAGTCAGGGGCATCAGGCTTTTGTATGACCCTTGAAGTTTCTCAACTGAAAAATTTGTGAGCAACCAAGTTACTTGCCTTCTACTGGAGTTGGCAGGGTTGGAATTTCAGGTTGAGAGTAGCAGGCGTACATCTGCTGGTCAAGGCTACGCAGGACATGGAAAGTGGGGTGTGTATGCTGCTGGAGAAACATGTGTCCAGCATCGACTTGGTTTGCCACGACTACCTCTACAGCAACTCCATCTGGGAGGAAGAGCTGTCATGTGGAGGAAAGAAATTCTCATTAGTGTTCACAGCAACACAAGCTTCATTCACAGCAACTCCATGTTCCACCAGCAACTCCTGAAGCTTACAGGCACGGGTGAAAAAGCCCTGACACTCTGGTATTTCACTTCCAAAAGCTGTTTTGGATCAGAAGCAGAAAGCTACTCCCTGTTACTCCATGCTGTTCAAGGAAATCAGACTTGGGGTGGGGGCACCTTGTACACAAAGAGACTATTGGCCAGGTCCTGCACTGGGCTCACAACAACCCCAGGCAACACTACAGGCTTGGGGAAGAAGAGTGGCTGGAAAGCTGCCCAGCGGAAAAGGACCTGGAGGTGTTGGTTGGCAGCTGGCTGAATATGAGCCAGCAGTGTGCACAGGTGGACAAGGTGGCCAACAGCATCCTGGCTTGTATCAGAAATGGTGTGGCCAGCAGGACCAGGGCAGTGA